TTTCTTCTCTTTCCAAAGTAACTTCCTATTAGTTTCCTGAGCTGTTCATTTCTGGTCACCTCAGGCTTCTCCTGAGCTAGAGAAAATGATTTTCCGTGGTCTATGGAATTACCTGAGATTCCATTCAGCATTCAAGACCCAAGTCACTTGTTTATCTTAAAACAACTAGAACTCTAACTCTTACAACCTGCTGGCAACCAACATACACAAAATGCATAACTTGCACACATAATCATAATGATTCAAAAACATTTGGAAATTAGAAAAGGAACATCATATGTTCTACCTACACTATTTTGCTTGAGAAATGACTTAGTTGGGGGGAAAGGCCACATGTGAAGCTTGTGAGAGGCATGTGCTGAGGATGAGACCCCTTGGAGTTGTCTAGAATGTTCCACCCTCACCCCTTGGCCCAAGGTGGAGGTCCACACTGGTTCAGGTATCACTAGCCATCCATCGCTGCCATGATGCAAAAGGACTACAGTGGGTTGAACAGCCCGTTCATTCTCTCTTTGGCACTAAATATTAGATGCATCCTTCTGAAGACTTTGCAAGAAGGCTCTTTTCCCTTTGAACCAAAGGAAACTTGGCTAACCCCTTCCAGAATAGAAAAAAAGGAAAAAGGACGAATGAAAGATGATCCTGCTGGCTATAATCATGTTAGGTAAATAAATACAGAATATGCGTTTGCTTCTACCCCCTGTTCTGTGTAGTGATTTCCATAAACACACAATGTGAAGACGCTGTTGAATATTAGTACAATGCTTTAGCATGACTTGGTTAAGACTAAAAATAAAATCTTTTCTCCCCCATATTTCATCGTGGTACAATTTCCTGTCTTGAAGAAAGATGGAAACTTTTACTTGGAAGATATATAGTTAGAATTTCCTGTAAGACTGAATTAGCTCCAGTCAAAATGAACTATTTTACACTGCCATTATTACTCACTTACCAAAAATACTTTGTTCTGGGTTTAATATTTTCTTAATACTTTTAACTTTTCTAAGCACTTTCTCATCAAATATCTCTCGAAGCTCACAATAAGCCTCAGAGTTAGGGCAAGTGTTGGAGAACAGTGAGTGGCAATGAGTATCAACAGAATTAGGATTATGATCCACATCTCCTTACTTTTGGTTCCAAACTTTTGGGGGAAAAACTTAATAAAACAAAACACTGTTTCATCACATAGCAAATCAAATATCTAAGTAGGATATTTTTTAAGTGACAGAGGCAAATGTTATTTGTGTATGATGACTATGTTTGCCTTGACACTTTTTAAAAATACTTCAGGAAAAAATTACATTAAAAATCACATAAAAGGCTCTTTTAATGCCATACCTTGACAAGAGACATGTCCATGCAAAGATATGAGGCTCCATTACATTTTATTATGATATGATTATGATGTCAATGCAAATTTCTAAAAAGCTCTATCTAACTGTAATTTCAAGACAGCTTCATTGCATTAAGAAACAAAACAGTCAACATAACATTGCATTAATTTGGGGGTTTTGACAGAAAGCCATAAAACAAAAGAATGTGCCAAATCAAGTCAACCTAGAATTTGGCTTCTCTTAGAGTGGGTAGTATTATGGAAGTTCATGGTTCTAAATATAGAGACCAGGAGGAGATGCAAAATGGAGCCAGAGAACTTGGGCACGACTGGCTGGAATTAATTAACGTGCACCCAGAGCCTCATGTCCGCTCGCCTTGACGTTGCTGACTCTCTGTATTACTAGATCTGGTTCTCACAATGATATGTAGCCCTTTTATGCTACCCTACTACTGAAGCCAAGGGGAGTGGTGCTGGCAGGCATTCTCGTTCTCTACTTTGGTATTTTTTTTCAACCCTGTATATTTATGGGGTTTTTAAATACTATCTTTTCCTGTTTACCATATGTCAAATTCTACATGAACTGATAAAAACATGCAAAGGCCTTATCACTCTAATCTCCTAAAATAGACTTTCCTCCCTCCTACCTCCTACACTTCATCAAGCCCCTCAGTACTAATTACTGAAATCTAAAATGCTCATCTGACCGAATTACATTACGTGTCCATTTTTAAAAACCTCAATTCAATTATCCACACTGATGTGGGCACCCAGAAAAAAAAAAATCCCCTGTCTGTATTTTTCCATTATGCAGCGACTCAGCTCTGGGACAGCTCAGCCTGAAGATGGTTCCCCCTCGAATGTAACATGCTCCTTTTAAGACGAGCCAGCACCCTCCTTGCGAGGGGCGTGCGGTGCCTGTATTGAAAGCACAGCAGGCCGCCTTCATCAGAGCCTGCCGTGATGCTCCCAACCCCACACTCCAGGGAGTGCTTCCCTGCTTGACGCTGGGAGCAGATTAAAGCTGTTCTAATTTTCCACCCAAGCCAAATAGATGCATAAGCAAGCTGTTAGATTGTCTCAGGATCGCACGGGACACCATCGCCCTGCTCTTTGGTGCTCTACCGTAGTTAGCATATCGGGGAACATTTGCAAGTAAAATCACAAGGGGAGGGCTGGGAGGAAGGAAATGGAAACCAGGGGTGTGAGAAAACCACCCCCCAGTCCAAGTGCACGTTCTGGCCAAAGTGGCAGGGGAGGTCAAAGCCCACTTACCAGAATGGAGTAAAACGTGCTTGCAACCAACTGTAAGGATAGTGTCTATTGAAAGACAAAGAGGAGAGAGTGATGGCGGGTCATCTCCCCCTATTGACAGCCAGAAATGGTTGTCACGCTGTGTTCTCCAAGAGAGACTGTCCAAACAGACAAAGGGGAGAACGAGAGCTGGAAGCAGCCGGTTGTCACAGGCGGGAGAAGACCGAGGGCTGTGGGGCGAAGCCACCGGTCGCCCACACGCTTGCCTGGGATTCAGAGTTGCAAATCCCATGAGAGCTGTCTCCCAGCCCCATAGCCCAATAACGTGCACGATGGAGTTGCCAGGGAAGGTAAGGATCATCTATGGGAGTGCGATAAAGCATGCATTGTGCAAGAAAATGTGGGTGCGACACATGGGCAGATGGGGAGAAAAAGGTAAGAATCAACGTGGAAAAATGCAGAAAGCCAAAGGAAGCTTACAACAACAGAAACATGAGGGACGCGTCTGCAGCTCACCATGCAGAATCGGCAACGTGAACATGAGAGGAAAATAACTGCATGCCTTGTTGGAACTAGTTTTTATCATGGTGTTAAAAATTTATAATAAAAGCCCAGGTGCGCACAGCACTCTGCTGAGTGTGGCTTAGAACACAATATACAGACCCTCCTTATTCCTTGTAAGAGTTTCTATAAAAATAGGTAGAAATAAAATATATAAAAATACTAGTTGTGATAAAAAAGGACCTATCTTATCATTGATTATTGGGCTGCATGTAAGGAGATTTTCTTGCACGTGTGTAATATGAGCTCCTACTGAAATATTTTCATATTTTTAAAAGAAGGAGACCCTACCTACGAAGACTTTACACCGATATAAATAACGTGGTATTATTCTCTAAATGAAGGAAATATGTACATATAGTCTTACTGAGTAGCAGTGTGCCCCACGTCCACAGACCCTTTGAGGTCCTAACCCACATTATTTGGAAATAGGATCTTTGCAGATGCCATCAAACTAAGATGAGGTCAGACTGGATTGAGATGGGTTCTAATCCAGTGACTGGTGTCCTTGTAAAAAGGGCCCCAAAGGCCAAGGATGGCCAAGGGTTGCCGGGAACCATCAGGAGTCTCATGAGCCAGGGAAGGATTTTCCACCTGAGCCTACCAACACCGCTGACTTTGGACTTTTAACCTCCAGAACTGAGAGGGAACAAACTTCTGCTGTTTTAAGGCACTGAGTTTGTGGTGATCGGTTATGGCGGCCATAGGAAACAAAACATAATCAGGTATGTCCAAAGCGGATGCTCATTCTGCAAATTTACTGCGTACACAAAGTATTTCAATTGTATCTGATTTTAGACATTTTCTGAATAATTAAGAAATTGTACTCCAGTGCAAATAAGGGTAGGGGTACATACTTTCTATGACAGGTTAGCTTTTCACATCCTTTCCACTCAGGCCCCCTTGCCCACCACGGTGAGCCCACACCACACCAGTGAGCCACCGCCAACCTTGTCCCCTGGGTCAGTGGGTCCTGGTGCTGGTCTCCACCCCCTTCCCAGGACTTCAGCTCATGCTTGCTCTCCTCTTTCTGCTTCCTGCTAACATCACGTTTAGATTCTCCCTTTTGTCTGTTTCTCCCAGTCCTGCTGCCAGGGCTAGCGAGGGTGTAACAAAACGAAAATCTCTCAAAATTTTGGAAATCTGTAAATGGGTATTTTTCTGGAAAACAATAAGATGAAGCAAGAGCCTTAAATAAATACATTATTTGGGCCCAATAATTTTACTCCTAAGAATGCACCTGAAAGTATCAAATGTCTACGCAAAGATGTTCATTTCAGAGCCATTTATTTAATTCATACATCTTTGATCCAAGTCCTCATGCTAATGCAGAATTCTAGTGATGAGCAAAATCTATCCCCATTATTTTGGGGAGTCCTAAGTGGCATCTCTCATTTGCTTTCTGAACTCATCTACTCAATTATCTGTATGCATCTATATCTGTCCCTTTTCTCTGGAACCTCCTTAAGACATTTTCCAGGTATCAAGAGTTGTCTCAACTCTACTCTCTTGGCTACTGAGGTTCCTGCCAGCATCCCTGTCCTCTGACCAGGTGTCCTGCTTCAGCTGGGGGTGGCTGCTGGTTGAGACGGCTATGCCCACTCTGTGCTCCTGTGTCCGCCACTGCCCTTTGACGTTCACCCACCACACTGCACTTGGAGGAGGCTAGCTTTAGCCAGTTTCATCCTGTAGGTGTGAGACTGCTGTGATGTACCAGGTCTGACACAGCAAACACTGCGCTGGGCATTGTTGTGGGCAAGAGAATGACCTCTTAGGTACTATTGTGCCGTGGGGTCATGGCTGGGAGGAGTGCTAAGGAGAAGTAGGAAATAGGATCATCTTTACCATTTTGGATTATACTTTATTATCCAGGTCTTACAGAGCCACATGTGAAACCTTTCTGTTAAGGCTCTACCACAGTCCCCTTTGTCCCACAACCTGAGCACGGGTCCACGGCAGGTAAAGAGGGAAACCCAAGGGAAAGATGCCACCTGTGACAGACCATCCCCCTCTTTAAGAACTGCAGTCTGGACCCTGAGTGAAGTACTCAGTCCTTTGTGGAAGTGAAGTGTGGCTGGCTCCTTAGGCTCTTGGCGGGACATCCACACACCTGCAATAAGAGCCGAAAAAGGTATCATAGAAACATAGGTTAACTAAAATCATATAATGGAATATCATATGGCTGCCAATGGTAGCTATTTTTAATAAAGGAAAAATGTTCTTGTTATTATCTTATGTGAAGATGGATTTCAGTAGTGTGATCTCACTTATGAAGAGATAGATGCTAGATGCTAGATGCTAGATAGATAGATAGATAGATAGATAGATAGATAGATAGATAGACTTATATACATTATGTATGGAATGATGGACTAGGAGGAAATACACCCAAATGCTAACCCTCACTGTCTCTAAGTGAGACTCATAATGACTTTTCAATTGTTCTCTAATTTTCAGTTTTTTTCAAATATATCATGAATTTTAGGTGGATATGCATGCGTTTTTGATCAGAAAAAAACCAGAATGTGTGAAAAGTATGCAATCACTGTCCAAATGTCAGAGTATACAGAACTCTGAGGATGGCAGGCAGGATGCTCCGCCTGGCCATCCCGAGGTCTCCCCACCTACACCCCGTCCAGGATGCTCCCCTGGGATGCTCTAGTCCCTTGTGTTGCCCATGCCAAGCCATCCAGGAGCTGCTTTCAGAGCAGAAATGCCGGGGCTGGGCCAGCCTCCCAAAGCAAATTGAGCATCCGTGCCCATAAGCCTTAGCATGTGCTAGGCACCACTCCAAAAAGGCATGGCTCCTGGCCACATGGGTTTTGGCCCCTTGTAAATCTGAAAAAAAATGTCCCCTTTTCCCCTGCTGCTACCCTCAGGGTCCTCCCTTCTTTCCTCAGCCATGATCTCCACTCACTTCATGTTTTTCACAAACATGCGGTTGTCTTCCAGCATGGCCAGGCTTGGTCCCTGCAAAAGTCCCAGAATAAGAAATTATTCTTTTAATTTTGGCGGGAATATGAAGACGACAAATACTGTGGTGAACAAACAGAAATAAAAACATCAATGCCTACTTTTTGTAGCAATGCTTTAAAAGGTGTTTTGGGGTCAGATGAAAAGACAATGAACGGAGGCAAATAGGGACTCTGAGTCAGAGGGCTGGAGAGGAACGGGGTTGTGTCCACCCAGAGCCATGAAAAATGGGGCTCACCTTGACCACAAGACTGGCAGAACCACGGCCATGCCAGGGTTCAAGTTTATTTTCCTAACTCCATGCCTCTAACCTTAAATGATTAAACTGACCAGCAAGTAAAGATGCTATTTTCTTGGTGAAAATAATATGAACATTATTTTGATGACTTTGCATCTTATGTTTCTTTAGCGTTTTCTGTTTTTGATGGGGTGGGTTGTGTCTTCAAGGGTGCAAACTCTTTTAGGATGTGGATTTGGGCAAATGAACTTTTGACGTTCACCCACCACACTGCACTTGGAGGAGGCTAGCTTTAGCCAGTTTCCTTCTGTAGGTTTGAGACCACTGTGATGTACCAGGTCTGACACAGCAGACGCTGCGCTGGGCATTCTTGTGGGCAATACAAACATCCCAGCTGCCCAGCTCTATTTCCATTCAAATTGGAAGTTTGAAGGACGCTCCAAATACATGAGAATGGAAAGAAAATCAGGAAAAGAACTGACCTGTGAACTCACCCCCAGCAGCCCTTCCAGAAAGATTTTGGGACGAAGGAAAAATATATACAAAGAGCTCGGATTGACTGGGAATGAAAAAGGAAACTTGTTTCAAAAATACTGTAAAATATGCTAAGAATCCATTTGGCCTTTGTGACGCTCCCTCCAACCAAGCATGGGAACTCTGGGGTGGGTGGGGACGCATGGCCCATCTACTGCGTCCATGGATATCATGGGATGATCGCCCAGCCTCCCCTTGAGGGATGGGCATTAAGCTGTTGTTTCCTGATTTTTTCTTCATCACCAATCATACATTGCTGCAGAGATGCCCCTTGGTCTCTGTTTGGTCTTCAACAAGAAGCTACAGCTGAGAAATCCTCTGCTTTCATCTTTAGTCCTATGAAAGACAAGCTCCCACGACCATTGCTAATGTCCCCTTAGCCAGGGTCTTATGTTGTCATCACAGGCCCCTGCCAATTTGGAGAGAATATTTCACCACTGTTCGACTAAAAACACAGAAGTGTTTGGCTTGGGTGCAAATTTATTAGGATTGTTCTGAAAAACAAACCAAAAAAAAAAAAAAAGGCTTTAGATTAGTTAAATCTGTGTTGAATTAGGTCATAATAAAAGAATAGTCTCTCATGGATTTCAATTGTGGTTTGGCCAACATTCTAGACACACACACAGAAACTAAAAAACCTTTCTTGTAAAAGGAAAGTCACTTTAGAGTGTGGCAGTCCTCAGTAAAGAGGACAATAAACTCATCTGTTGCTTTTTAAAATAAGTTTCAGTGATATTTTAATTTGAAAATACTCCTCAAATATGCACAGTGGTCCCATTTCTTCCCTTGTGAGGCTTTCCAACATTATATGGGTTTTCAGTTCACTGGTTAAGAGCAACTCTTATATCTGAAAGAAGGAACCACTGGGGGAAAAAAAAATTGTCCATGGAAATTGTGAGCCTGTGACAATGAGTTGTTTTAATAGAAAATGATTAAATTAAATTTAAAACTTTTAGAAACAGTGATTAATGTTCTGACTTGAAACAACCAGAATGGGACTTAGAATTCACATGATTCTAACCACACCCAACCCAACATCCTCTTGCTGCTCATACAATGTGAGCTCCCCTAGAAATAAAAGTGTTATTATAACTGCCTAATTTGCATGGTACTCCAAAATATTATACCATTTGATACCCAAGAAAACCTAGAATATTTGTAAGACAAATATTATTCCATGTAAAAATGTAAAGAAATTCAAACTCACAGAATTGAATTACTCAAGGTTACAAAGCCAGTAAGAGAGAGTAAACCTTGATTTTTCTGACTCACAGTCTGAGTTTTGATAATTTGAAACCCTCCACAATCTCCCCCCATGTTTAAAATCTTAACCCTAGTGTTAGAATCACTTTGAATCTCCATGAAAATCAAGCCTGATTCCGCTTACTCTTCCATCCTGTGGGCACACATCCAGGGTCAAGTAGAGCAGATGTGAAGTATAGATACATTTAGAATGGAATGGAAACTGTCTTCCTTCTCAGATTCTTGTGTGGATTCATTTTCTGGCTAGTGGATGGCATAAAACTGAGTAACACCACAGTGAGCCATCTTGTGACCAGAGAAACTGTGTCATCAGCTTGAGTGCTGAGGATGACCAGGGGACATAGGGGCAATGTCTTCAGTCCTCTATGGAAGAAAAAAAATAATAATGCAAATATAAGGCATATAGACTACAGATTAAAAAGCATAGGATTGATTCTCCTCTTCAGAACAGGAGAAGAATGAGGATAAGGGAACTCAGTATTACCACTGGGGAAGAAGGGACATTCCTAAAATATTTAATAAAAATATTAACAACAACACCCTGTAAGTTTCTAACCAGACAAAGGAGCAGAAAGCTAGTTATGTGGAGAATAATAGTGAGAGTAATAATAAAAAAGATTGATTCATAGTTTACTATTAGATACTCAACAAAGTGTTTAGCCACTAATTCCATGAAATCTTACCAACAACCATAAGTTCCATGTAGTCACCCTATTTTATAGGTGAGGAAACTGAGAACTAGATAATGTATATAGTTTTGCTAATGTCAAAACACTGATAGAAGATTTGAGACTAGTTCTGTCTAATCCAGAGCCCATGCTTTTAATCCCAATGCTGTCCTGGGGCTTATGGTAGAAACAGTATCCTAAGGATTGTACAGAGACTTTTGCAACAATACCAGAATTTTTCGCCACATTTTTTCAGTCTTGAATCTTCACTATCCATTATTTACTTATGTACCTTAAGTTTTTTTCCCTGCTTAAAAAAAAAAAAAAAGCCTCAAATTAAGTCTCACCGTGCCTTGGTGTGAATTAATTTCTCAATGTGCTTTGGTTGGGTAAAAAAGAGACAGGACCTGTGGGAGCCCGGAAGACTGATTGGAGAAGCTGTAGAGGGCTAAGGAGCTGTGGAAGAAAGGGTGGTCAGAAGGAAAATAGAAGGTAAACATCCCCTTTCCTATCAGGCAGGATGGGCTGGTATTCTGTAGACATAATCTCATTGTCTCAATAGCTTGACGGTATAGTTTTATTTCTTACTCACATGATATGTTTTTCATAGGTGCAAGGTGGGGCCATACTCATTTTATTTCCCCCTTTCCACAGCAGGCTGACACAATCTCAAACACCCACCACCACAGTAGAAGGGGAGAGAGCTCTGGGGGTCCACACAGGTGAGCAAGTGCTCCAATCAAGTTCAAGGGAGCATTCTCTTCACACTGCATTGACCAGAACTAATCATGTGATGATACCCGGTCACAGAGGGGCCAGGAAGTGACAAACTCCTATGTGCACAGACCCCAGGAGGCCAGAGAACTCTATGACAGCATTCATAAAAATTCTGCCAATGAACATCTCTCAACATTTACCTACTTCTCCACATGGCCCATGTTTGGCATTCCTTATACTTAGTAGTGCACCTGCCTTTCCAAAACCATTTCTGTTCCATATTGCTTTCTAAAACCACCGTGTTTTCAGAAGGTCAGCTTCTGTTTCATCACCCAGATGTACCATTGAAACAAAAGTAAGTCAGGAACATACCTTTTAAGTATGTTTGGGATGAGAAATGGCACGGTGAATGATGGGTTCCATATTTGCAATGTGAGGGTTTGTCATCTTTATCAAAGAGAGTCTTGTCTGCTACTTCAATTATGTTCGTTCCTTATACATTATCTTATCAGAGGCATTGTATGAGATCTTAAAATCATGAGTTTCTGACTGATGTGAATGATTCATCTTATTGTAATTTCCTGTGAATATTATGATAGCCAAGAGGAAAGGGAAATTCATTTGTATGCTGGGAGATCTTTGAAAATCAAACTTTACTTTAAAAATAAATTTTATTGCCATAAGGTATTCTTTATGTGTCATTCTTCACCTTAACAAGAATGTGATGGACCCTTCATAATGAGTAGTATCTGAATCATGCTGGAAATGTCAAAATAAAATGAAGATTTCAAAAAAAGAAGAGCTTCCCATAATTTTGCAAAAAAAAGGGGCAAATTATATTTCAGTTTTAATAAGCAAATATTTCACTTTCTGTAAATTATATATAGGTATATAATCACTTACAGTTTATTAAAGTGATTCAATAATTTTGTTGAGACTCTAATGTGGTCTACTTTGTCTATGTGTGTGCTGCATGCAATGACTAGAAAACCAAGCATTATAAGAAACTATCTCAACCTCCTGGGATCTTACATTCTGGCTAAGATCATGCCTGCCAGAGCAGAACTTGAGATAAGACCACATAAGCAATGATCCGCTTGTGAGGGAAGTGGTCCCAGGGAAGCTGATGAGAGTGAACAAAGCAGGGTAGGATAGGGAAAGGCCAGGCAAGGGTATGATTTCAGGCAAAATCTTGCAGCCAGTAGCATCAGCCTGATCCCTAGGATGATCAGGAAGTGTAAATTACACCTAATGGTTGTCTTGATCTAAGGCAAAGGGAATGGATTTTCATACTCTTGTACATCGCAGTCATTAGCTAAGTTCTGCATCAAGGGAACATAAACTCCTAGGTACTTCCAGCTATCTGCACATACAGTCAAAATGGTCCCAGCAGACTAAGGACAGTCGTCCAAAGAAGTATTGTAGATAGTGGTCATTGAAGGCACAACATCCCCTGCTGGAAAAGAGCCCATAGGGAAGGCACTCAGGAATCCACGAGAAGCACTGGCAATATCAATTACAGTCCACCCCTTGCTTCTTTCGAATCCACTTGAAGTAATCTCACTTTATCCTGCATG